AATATCATTGATATCACATGCAAGTAAAATCTTACTGAAGATAATTAAAAAATGGTTGCAGCAGTATATTGACAGAACACTTCCAGAAATGCAAGCTGGACTCAGAAGAGGAAATGGAATGAGGGATATCATAGCTGATGTCAGATGGATCTTGGCTGAAAGCAAAGAATACCAGAAAGATGTTTACTTATGTTTTATTGATTATGCAAAGGCATTTGATTGTGTAGATCATTACAAATTGAGGATAACATTGAGAAGAATGGAAATTCCAGAACCCTTAATTTTAACTCATGAGGAACCTGTACATAGACCAGGAGGCTGTCATTCAAACAGAACAAGGGAATACTGCATGGTTTAAAATCAGGAAGGGAATGCATCAGGGTTGTATCCTTTCACCATACTTATTCAATCTGTTTGCTGAGCAAATAATCTGAGAAGCTGGACTATATGAAGAAGAGAGTGGCTCCAGGATTGGAGGAAACTCATTAACAACCTGAGATATACAGACGTCACAACTTTGCTTGCTGAAAGTGAGGACGACTTGGAGCACTTACTGATAAAGATTAAATACTACAGTCTGAAGTATGGATTACACCTTAGTATAAAGAAAACAAAAATCCTCACAACTGGACCAGTAAGCAGCATCATGATAGATGGAGAAAAGATGGAAGTTGTCAAAGACTTCGTATTACTTGGTTTTACAATCAATGCCAATGGAAGTAGCAGTCAAGACATCAAAAGACATATTGCATTGGGCAAATCTTTTGCAAAAAAAAACCTCTTTCAAGTGCTGAAGAGCAAAGGTATCTCCTTGAAGATTAAGGTGCACCTAACTCAAGCCATGGTATTTTCAATCGCCTCATGTGTATGTGAGAACTGGACAATAAATAAGGAAGACCAAAGAAGAGTTAATGCTTTTGAGTTGTGGTAGTGACGAAGAATGCTGAAAGTACTGGGGACTGCTCAAAGAACTAACAAGTCTGATCTGCAAGAAGTGCAGCCAGCATGCTCCCTGAAAGTGAGAATAGCCAGACTTTGTCTCACCTACTTTGGTCATGTTGTCAGAAGGGATCATTCTCTGGAGAAGGATGTCATGCTTGGTAAAGTGGAGGGTCAGTGAAAGAGGGGAAGGCCCTCAACAAGATGGAATAACATGATGGCTGCAGTGATGGGCTCAGGTATAGTAGGGATTGTGAGGCTGGCACGGGACCAGGCAGTATTTTGTTCTGTTGTACATAAGGTTGCTATGAGTTGGAGACAACTCAACGGCACAGAACAACAACAACAACAACAGGGTAGGCATGTGATTTAACGTAAGTCAATCACACTAAGGAAGAAAAGTCTTTCTCTTTATTTTTTATTGAGATTTTGGTGAAAGGTAACAAATTCATTTTCCATACAGTTCATACACATTTTGTTTCATGATATTGACTGCAATTCCCCACAGTGTAACAGCTCTCTTCCCACTTCCTCGCTGTAGTTACCTCTTCCCTGTGTCTTTCTTTCCTATGCATACCTGCCTCCTGAGCTATCTCCCAGTGCAAACCCTGCCCTTCTGTTATTCCATGATTGATCGCTCTAAGGGGTGTCTCTACCTGATGTAAATGTTCACCCTATATGCTTACCTGTCTAATGTTTGGCTGGAAGCCTCAGGTGTGAGTTCAATTCCAGGCCTGAAAGGTAACTAGGAGCCATAGTCTCAGGGGTTTCACCAGGCTCTATCAGACCAGTAATCCTGGTCTTTTTTACAATTCTGAGTTTTGTTCCACATTTTTCTCTTACTCTATCCAGGATCTCCTGCACTGACCCCTTTCCAAGTAAGTGGTTGACAGTGGTAGCTGGGCACCATCTAGTTCTTCTGGTCTCATGGTCATATAGGCTGAGGATCACATGGTTCACTAGGCCCTTGGACTAATTGTTTCCATGTGTCTTTGGTTTTCTTCATTCTTCTTTGTTCTGGATGAGGAGAGATCAATTGTTGGATCTAGATGGCTGATTGCAAGCTTTTAAGACCCCAGTGGCTACTCACCAAAGTAGGATGTGGAACAATGTTTTTACACAGCATGTTATGCTAATTGAGCTTGATGTCCCCCGTGACCATGGCTCCGAGTCCACACTTCCAATAACTTGCTCCATCAGGGTGATTGGCTGTGGCTAAGAAGCTATCATAAGTTTGCCTCCTTTTAGTTCAACTGATAGGGACATTCTTACAGCACATTACAAATAACATATGTAAAAATATCATCTGCCAACCTTATATATGGTCATGAGTATATTCCCTTTTGCCTAGACATACCTGATGATTCAACCTTTCTACTTATGTATCTATCCATAGATTATTAAAACTCTTTCTCTTTGGCTGTCATGCTCTCCTTACAGATATCAAAGACATAGAGCCCTAGTTGCTGCTCATTCACAACCATTTTGAGTAAGATTAAGACATGGCTGAGACAAATGAGGCAAAAGATAATGCCATTTGAAAGAAATGGAGCTAGAGCTGTGTACTTATTGCAAAAGGAATTGTTGTCTCTGGAATTGCTGCTATGTGACAATAATAAATTTATTATTTAAGCTAGTTTAATTTGGGGTTTTCTGTTACAGCAAAAACATCCTAATTCAAAGAGAAAGGGTTGAGACATGTTAGGCCTTATACAATTAGCTTTGCTAGATAACAAACCATCCTCAAATGCAGCGGTTACAACAGACATTTCTTATGGTTGCTGAGTTCAGCTTATCCAGCTGGGCTTGACTGAACTCAGTTAATCTCGCTAATATGTATGTCCTTTGGCTGGACCTACTCATGTGTCTTTGAATTGGCTTTGTTCTACCGGATTCTCACCCTCCTCTTGGGTCCAAAAGTTTGGCCCAGGTGCAAGAGAGCAAATTCTAATGTGCAAACATATTTCAAGCTTCCGCTTGCATCATATCACTAATATCCCATTGGCTAAAGCAAGTCACATGGTTGAGCCCAGCATCAAGGGTTGGGGCAGTGCACCCTGTCCTTGATAGCAGGACTCTCAGAAGTTACATGACAAAAATATGATGAATTGGGGCTATTTTTGCAATATACCACAGGTTGTAATCATTTCTGGAGTACTGGCTACTATTGTTTGAAATTTAAATTGTTCATTCTTTTGCTTTTTTTTAAATTGCTCATTCTTGAAACAAAATTAATAACTTAAGAAGCCCATTCTGAAGAAATCATCAAGACTGTTAGATCTCTTCAATTCTTAATGTCCAGAATGACAAAAGACTACAAATTCTTAATATAAAATTAACATATTGTATATATGTTCCTGAATATAGTCTGAAATATTAAACAATAAATATGATGTTGCTTTACCTTTTTCATTATTGGCAGTAGAACTACATTTTATTTATTTTAAAGGGTCTGATTTTAATCTCAGTGCAAGTATGCACAAACTGAAAACCCTAATCAGGGTTCTGGATGTTTTTTAAATTCAGTATACTAATAAAGCAAGTCCCTGGGTGGTGCAAATGGTTAACTTGCTTAGCTGTTAACTGAAAGGCCAGAGATTTGAGTCTACCCAGAGGTGCTTGGAAAGAAAAGCCTGGTGATCTACTTCCAAAAAATCATCCACTGAAAACTCTGTGGAGCACAGTCCTACTCTGACACACATGGGGGTGCCATGAGTTGGAATCAACTTGTTGGCAACAGGTTATACTAATAAAGAGGTTTTGAGTCACTCACCTGATGATGCAAAACAGATTTACATTAGCATTGTATAATGAAAAATCAATAAAAATAACTCTGGTTGCTCTTGTGATCCAGCTGTGCAGTCGAAGGTCAATGAATTTGTCTTTGGTTTCATATTTTGATTTTGATAAAGTAAAAATATATCCCCCATTTCCATACACACCAACAAATCCCCAGTGCCATGGGGAGTTGGAATTAGAAGTAGAGTACTTCCATCTGCCAGACATAAAAAGAATAATGGAGAGATGAGACAGCCAGACTAAGAAGTACTCTAAGAATCTAAAACTAACCTTTGGTTCAAAAGTTGCAGTTAAAAAAAAAAAAGTAATAAATTCATGGATATTTTGATAATTTTGAAGCAAGGCATTAAGGATTAAGATTTAAAATGTTTTCATTTTTCAGTGCTTAATGTGGGCAACAAATTACACTAGGTCCTATGAGAAAATATTTTGTAAAAATCCATCTTTTGCCACAAGGAATTTAAAATCTAGAAAATGGTGACTGATTTATCTATTATTAACATAGTGCCTCTCTTGAGATGTTTAATCTTTGAGTAGGACAAGAGTATCAAGAGTTTTGATGCAGAAATAATTATATCAGTATGGAAAAAAAAGTTGCATCATAGTCTGTCTTCTAATGGTCACATATCACTAATACATGTTCAGTAAATAAAAACTTTGCTACAGTGTCTGTATCGTTATGACTTTTTATTTTAAAGAAAGTACATGAATCAAAGTAAAATATATATAAATAAATTTTATTTCCCTTGCTTCTACTTTTAATTATGGGATCTCAAAAAAGGAAAGCCTTGATTCCTCATTTCAGTCACCATTTAGTTGCCTGAAAATACATTGGAAAGATGATTTAAAAATGCACTGATTAAACTCACTTTTATATTAATAAGATAATGTTTGTTTTCAGCCGGGAAGAAAACAATGACACCAGTAATGACTATTACAGACAATACTATAGTTGTGTTTTTGAGTGTTTTCCACATACGATTGTTTGATTGAAACTGGAAAATTTGTTACAACAACCCTCTCCTAGCTTCCAATATTTTATAATGTTTATAACTAACAAATTTTATATTTCAAACAGACAAACAAGCACCCACTGACTCTTATTTTGATTATTAGGGAATGACAGGAATAACAATTTGAACTTAGAGATGGTAGACCTTGAAATGTTCTTTTTGACAATAAATGTGATGCCATTCTCCAATTTGTCATTTCTGGATAGAAGACACTATTACTGTCCAGTTCAAAATGGCCAATAACAAGATCTATCCTGAAATACAATAGTCAGTGATGGCATAATATCTATATATTTATAAGGGAGATCAGTTTATATGATTATTCAAATTTACACACCAACCACTAAAGCCAAAGTGAAGAAATTGAAGATTTTTTTTTACCAACTTCTGCAGTCTGAAATTGATACAATTAAGATGCATCGATAATTTGGATAAATTATCAATATCAGTATCAATAAAATTGATAATTGGAATGCAAAAGTCAGGAACAAAGAGGGATTGGTAGCTAGAAAATTTGGCCTTGGTGACAGAAATGATTTCAGAGCTTGCTTGATAGAATTTGCAAGATCAACAATTTTTTCATTACAAATACCTTCTTTCAACAACATAAATGGCAACTATACCCATGGACCTCACTGGATGGAATACACAGAAATTAAATCAACTATATCTGTGGAAAGAGATGATGGAGGAACTCAATGTCAGTTGGAAAAAAAAACAGGGACAAACTGCAACAGACCATCAATTGCTCACATGCAAGTTGAAGTTGAAGCTTAAGAAAATTAAAACAAGTCCACAAGAGCCAAAGAACAACCTTGGGTATATCCCACATGAATTTAGAGACCATCTCAAGAATAGATTTGACACACTAAACACTAATGACAAAAGACCAGATGAGTTGTAAGATTACATCAAGGACATCATACATAAAGAAAGCAAAAGGTCATTTACAAGACAGGAAAGAAAGAAAATACCTAAATGGATATCAGGAGAGACTCTGAAACTTGCTCTTGAATGTAGAATAGCTAAAGCAAAGGAAGAAATGACAGAAAAAGACCTGAATAGAAGATTTCAAAGGGCACTCCGAGTAGAGTATTATAAAGTATTATAATTAAATGTGCAAAGACCTGGAGTTAGAAAACCAAAATGGAAGAACATGCTTAGCATTTCTCAAACTGAAACATCTGAGGAAAAAAATAAAGCCTCAAGTTGCAATACTAAAGGATTCTATAGGCAAAACACTGAACAATGCAGGAAACATCAAAAGGAAATGGAAGGAATATACAGAGTCATTGTACTAAATAGAATTGGTCAATGGTGAGCCATTTCAGGAGGTGAAGATATTGAAGGAGGAAGTCCAAGCTGCCCTGAAGGCATTGGCAAAAACCAAAACAGAAGAGGTTGATGGATTACCAATTGAGATGTTTCAACAAACATGCAACACTGGAAGCACTCATTCAATTACGGCTAGAAATTTGGAAGTTAGCTACCTGGCCAACTGACTGGAGGAAATCCATATTTGTGCCTATTCTAAAGAAAAGTGATCCAACAGATGTGGAAATTATCAAATAACACACAAGTAATGTTTTGCTAAAGATAATTCAAAACAGGTTGCCTCAGTACATACACAGGGAATGGCCAGAAATTTAAGCTGGATTCAGAAGAGGACATGGAATGGGATAGATGTCAGATAGATCTGGCTGAAAGCAAAGAATACCAGAAAGATGTTTACCTGTGTTTTATTAACTATGCAAAGGCATTTGTGTGGATGATAACAAATTATGGATAACATTGCAAAAAATGGGAATTCCAGAACACTTCATTGTGCTCACATGGAACCTGCATATAGCAAAAAGTCAGTCATTTGAACAGAACAAAGGACTACTGAGTGGTTTAAAATCAGGAAAGGTGTATACCAGGGTTATATCCTTTCATCTCACTTCCTCAATCTGTATGCTGAGCAAATAATCCAAGAAGATGGATTATATGAAGAATGTGGCAACAGAATAGAAGGAAGGCTTATTAACAACTCGCAATGTGCAGATGACACAACCTTCCTTGCCGAAAGTGAAGAGGACTTGAAGCACTTATTGATGAAGATCAAAGAGTACAGTCTTCACTGTGGATTACACTCAACATAGAGGAAAAAAAAAAAAAAAAAAAAAATCCTCACAACTAGCCCAATAAGCAACATCATGATAAAGAGAGAAAAGATCAAAGTTGTTAAGGATTTCATTTTACTTGGATCCACAATCAATATCTATGGAAGCAGCAGTCAAGAATCAAACAATGTATTCCATTGGGCAGATATGCTGCAAAAGACCTCTTTAAAGTGACCTTGAAGACTAAGGTGTAACTGACCCAAACCATGGTATTTTCAATCACTTCATATGCATGTGAAAGCTGGATCATGAACAAGGAATATTTAAGAAAAATTGATGCATTTGAATTATGGTGGTGCCTAAGACTACTGCATACACCATGGAATGCCATAAGAACCAATAAATGTGTCTTGGAAGAAGTACAGCTAGAATGCTCCTTAGAGGTGAGGATGGCGAGACTTGTTTCTTGTACTTTGGACATGTTATTAGGAGGGACCAATCCCTGCAAAAGGACAATTCGCTTGGTAGAGGATCAGCAAAAAAGAGGAAGACCCTCAATGAGATGGATTGACACAGTACTGCAACAATGGGCTCAAATATAGGAATGATTGTGAGAATGGCACAGGACTAAGCACTATTTTGTTCTGTTGTACATAGGGTCACTGTGAGTTGGAACTGACTTGACGAGCACCTAACAACAACATCATCAACTGTGACTATACATGTGGGCCTCACCAGAGGGAATACATAGGAATCAAATCAACTACAGCGGTTGAAAGAGATGATGGAGAAGCTCACTATTATCAGTTAGAACAAGGCCAGGGGACAAGTGCAGAACAGGCCATCAATTGCTCATGTAAAAGTTCAAGTTGAAGCTGAGGAAAATTATAAGACCATAGGAGCCAAAGTACAACCTTGAGTATATTCCACCTGAATTTAGAGGCCATCTGAAGAACAGATTTGATGCATTGAACACCAATAACCAAAGACCAGTGAGTTGTGGGATGACTCCAAGGACAGCATACATGAACTAAGCAAAAGGTCATTAAAAAGAAAGGTAAGACAAAAATTGATGTCAGAAGAGATTCTGAAACTTTCTTTTGAACACAGAGTAGCTAAAGTGAACAGAAGAAATGAAGAAGTAAAAGAGCTGAACAGATTTCAAAGGGCTGCCTGAGAAGACAAATTAAAGTATGATAATGAATTGTGCAAACATCTGGAGTTAGAAAACCAAAAGGAAAGAACACATATTTCTGAAGCTGAAAGACCTGAAGAAAAAATTTAAGCCTTGAGTTGTAATATTGAAGGATTCTATTGGCAAAGTGTTGAATGATGCAGGAAATATCAAAAGAAGATGGAAGGAATACAGAGTCACTGTAGCAAAAAGAATTGGTTGACGTTCAACCATCAGGAGATAACATATGATCAATAACAATATAGAGATGGGTAAAACCCAAGGAGGGGTCGCTATGAGTCGGGGCCGACTCGACGGCACATAACAACAACAACAACAAAATAAACCAAACCCATAGTGTTAACTTTGGTATTTAAAACATGTCTGTTGTTGTTGTTATGTGCCGTCAAGTTGACCCTGACTCATAGCGACCCCTCCTTGGGTTTCCGAGGCAGTACCACTACGGAAGTAGATTGCCCAACCTTCCTTCCGAGGAGTGGCTAGTGGGTTTGAACCACCAGCCTTCTGGTTAGCAGTCAAGTGCCTTAGGCACTATGCTACCAGAGCTCCTAAAACATGTCTAGTAAAGAGAATTTAGAATATTAGAATATCTAATAGAGTAGTCTTTACTTTCCAATTTAAAATGTGTAATGGATCAATTAATCTCATAATTTTTTAGGTGGAGAGGGAAATAGTGAATATAGTATTATAATATTTAAGAGAATGTGTTACCATAATTATGGAATTAATTTATTAAATGTAAAAGAACTATACAACATTTTGGAAAGTTTTGATTTGGTGAGATAGCCGAAATCTCTAAAATTGGATTTTTAACTTATTAATTTAAAAAAAGTTAATTGTTTGTAAATACTTCTAAACATATCTCAAAGATCCTCTGTGAAGTGATTGTTAAAATATAGTAGAAATCAACTAACTAAAATTAAAAGCTTAGGGAAAAATTGGACTTAGCAAGTCAAGTATCAATTTAAAAACCAAATCAAACTGCAAAGTCTTTTCTGTGCACAAAAGTTGCCCTCAAGAACACTAAAAAGATCACAATGGAAAAATAAGTGAAAACAAAAAACAAAGCAATTATTAATCCTGAGAATACAGAGAAAGTTTTTCAAGAAAGGCAACGTGGTTGTCATTCATTTTATAATATAAACATTGTATAATTATTTAAAAAATATTATGATATATCTATATTGAAAGGCTAATATGAACAGTGTGTGGAGGGTGTGCATAAGATAGCTAAATGATAGATCACCTTCCATACCAGAAAGAGAATTATTGTTGTTGTTAGGTGCTGTCAAGTTGTCTCTGACCCATAGTGACTTCATGTACAGCAGAACAAAACACTGCCTGGTCCTGTGCCAGCCCCACGATCCTTACTAGACCCAAGCCCATCATTGCAGCCACTGTGCCAATCCATCTCGTTGAGAGCCTTCCCCTTTTTCGTTGTCCCTCCACTTGGTCAAGCATGATATCCTTCTCCAGGGAATGGTCCCTTCTTACATGACCAAAGTAGGTCAGATGAAATCCAGTCATTCTCGCTTCCAAGGGGCATTCTGGCTGCACTTCCTCCAGGGCAGATTTGTTAGTTCTTTGAGCAGTCCCCAGTACTTTCAGCATTCTTTGCCAATACCACATTAGCTCTTCTTCAGTCTTCCTTTTTCACTGTCCAGCTCTCACATGCATATGAGGCAACTGAAAATACCATGGCTTGTGTCAGTTGTTGTTGTTATGTGCCGTCGAGTCAGCCCCGACTCATAGCGACCCCTCCTTGGGTTTCCGAGGCAGTATCACTACGGAAGTAGGATTGCCC